AGCTCCGTACTGGAATAGGTAGATTAGGATTCATATATTTATAGCACTGTTTCAGAAGTTTCCAAACTGCTAAAACTGGAATCATAGGCCCAACACAATATTTACCACTAGCCTACCGCAGCCAATCAGCTTCTGGCTGACGGGGCTGCAGCTAGCCGCAAGTGCTAGCCTCTCTTCTAAGTAAAACCAGCTCTGGTAAAACCGGAGTTAACCAAAAGAAGGGGTGTGCCTGGAAGACAGTTTTGCAGTTTCAAAATAGGATTGTTGTCGGACTCATCGCCACTCGCCACTCACACTCTACTATCTAGGCGCATTGGAGAATGCCGCGATTTTCAATTTCAGTTCAGTAGGCCTAAATCTAGATCTGTATTAGATTCTAGTCTTTATCTTTAGACAGTCCGCAGCAGAGGTCTGTGAACTCTGGGTGGTTGCGAAAAGTGCACAAAATTTTAGCACGCTTTTTGAATCATAAAGACGCTCATTTGTTGCTCCTGACTCTGACGTCAAAACTAGAGGTGAGTAATCATTGTAAGGAACGCCATCATTTAGGTAGATCTAAATTACATCAAAGAAAGACCCCGTTGTCTAAGAAAAGACCTGGGAGGACTTCCGTAACGAGCGACCACTATGAGACAGAGCAGAATTGAGGGCTTGGGGTAGGGGTAGGGGTAGGAGTAAGGGTAGGGGTAGGGTTAGGGGTAGCGTTAGGTCTAGGCCTCTGGCTCTTCTTTATTGTGTTTGATGGGGTGGTCGCTCGTTACGGAAGTATTTCCAAAGACCTAGAATCTAGACTTCGAAATTCCTCTCTAAGTTGCTTTAGCCATAGCCTTGATCTTTATCTTTGCTTGACTTAACGTTGCCTCTTGCAGTTTGTAGTTCGTTGTAAAGTTACCCCTGACTCATCGGACCGCCAGGTAGCTTTACAGTTCATAAAAAAATGTAACTTGGCATAGTGTAGTGTAGATCTAAATCTAGATATCTAGATCTAGATCTAGATCTAGATCTAGATCAATTCTAGATCTAGATTTGGAAGATTTCTAACCATGAAATCGAAGTGAAACGACATCATGTCGGAATGATGTTTGCTTTTTTGGTAATCTTATACTTTAGCCTTTAGCATGTTAAATTCTTCATCAATTGAGGACTTCCGTAACGAGCGACCACTTTTAAATCTAGATCTAGACTCTAGATCTTGATTTTACTCATTAATTATGGCTTCCAAAAATCATGATAGAAGACCAAAATCCAATGTTATTTACCATCTATCCATGACAAAATTACGGTAGTTTGCGCATTTTAAGGCCAGTTCAAAGTTTTGAAGATCTGAGTCGGGGATTAGTAGACTTTGGCTTTGGGAATTTAACGTGCTAAAGTATAAGATCACCGCTTTTTTGTTCACAGTTCAAGTTGGTTCATTTGGTTTGTCAATCATAGAGAAACACACTTGGCGTTTGCTCATCGTTGTCAGGATTTATTTTCAACCTGATCCAGTGTGGATGTTGATAGATCTAGATCTAGTAGTAGGTCTACCACTAGATCTAGATGTAGATAGCCTTCCCGAAAAGAACTGATCATAGATCTAGGCCTACTTGACAAGATGGATGATGGATATATTTTCGATTTATGGCTAGCCGTGTACTTAAACTTCTAAGGACTTAGGTAAGGCCTTACCGAAACCTGTTGAGTACACAGGTCTCATTAGATCTAGATCACGCTTATAAAAAAAATTATGGTTCAAACACAGACGCGCTCTCGATTCGGCTATCAGAACTTCCAACAACGAAGCGTAGATTTTAAGCCTTATTATATTTACACACACTGCGTTTTATTTAGCACTGGCGCTAATTGCAACGCGGCGTGTTAGCACTGGAGGTAAGCGCAATGCGACGTAGCAAGCATAATTGAGTAGGCCTATTTTTTGCTGTTTGCCAGTCTTGCCATCACTATTAATTTGAGGCTAGCCTAGCCGTCTAGCCGTCATTGAGTACTGCTAGCCTCTTCTTATTTTTGTCTTTGACTTTGTAGTACTTAGATTGTAGAATTACACAGGTCCCTTGGTAGTAGTAATGGAGTACACTTATAACGAGAAATCTGGATAAAGACACTCTTCTAAAACCCTGTTTTTTTCCCTTCTTTATCTTTGTAAATAAAATACAACTGCTTTAGCGCAATCAGACAAACAGTGTGAGTCGGTTATAGCGGAATATTGCTTCTGCTGTGCACAGTGTAGGTGAATTATATTTATATATATATTATGTAAAACCTCTCCAGTTGAGAAACTTGTTGGTGATCTGGTGAAACAAAGAATGGGAGAGCCCACGTGTGCCAACAATGAAGACTGGAGCGAGTGGGTGGGGAGGATGTGGCATGCGCAGACAAGCAGAACGCATCTCGTGATAGGCCATGCTGCCTAGTCTAGATTATCCAGGCCAACCATGCCTCTTACTTCTCCGATGCGGAGATGGTGAGCCGAGGTCACAATGCTGTGATGGATGGAGCGAATGTGTGATGTGGGCAGGATGAGGTGTGTACCCAATGTGCGCAAGCAGACAGAACGCACCACAGGGTATGGTGGGGTTGGGGACAACACAGCGGGCGAGTTAGCCTAGAGCCCTTTCTTTCTGGTGCTGTCAACATCGCTAGCGCTAGAGAAAGAAACCTGATTTGATTTTTTATCAAGTAAGACCTAGAGGTCATGTTGAGCTAAATCATCGTCAAAGGAGAGATAACAAAAAGAAATTATTATGACAGAACATCAAACTCATAGATTATGCCTACTTTAATGTTTTCCCTGAATTTATTACTGGATCCCTTATAACAAGAATCCCAACATCAAGGGCTACAGAATGGAAAAGATTGTGGCCAAAAGGCTGGCAAATTACTTAGAGAGGAAAAAGCTCCTTCCAGACGGCCTTGGAAGCTATAGACCAGGGAAAGACACCTGCACAAACATGGCTGTGTTAGCCTTTGATGTATTTGAATCGTTCCAGAGAAAGGAGGAGACAGCAATGGCTGCTGTAGACCTAGAGGATGTTTACAACCGAGTTGATTACTGCAAGCTCATGGATCTCCTGATGGAAATGGATGTTGACCCCTGTTTGCTCTGTTTGAGAGGAAGGTGGCACTGAGAAGTGGGTGATGGATGTCAGACCCAGTAGTGATTGCCTCAGGACTGCCCCAAGGTTATCACCGGTTCTGTTCAACATATAAATATAATACATTCAAAATTGCCAAAAGTGGAGCAAGAAGAATCCTAATATTTGCAGATGATGTGATGGTCTACGGACAAGGTCATGATAGGCTAGCAGTTGGATGGATGCTACAGGACAGGCTGAGCAAGGTCGCAATTTGGTGTGAGGAATACAATCCGGTCATCAATCCAGACAAAGCACAGGTCATCTGGTGCTCACTCAACAAAACAATCGTATTGTGAAAGATCCTACCCCTCCAATTGTGTTTGACCACTTTCTCATAGACAGACAGCATGAGTTGAAGTATCTGAGAATCACTCTGGACAGGACACTTTCTTTCCGAAGACATATTGACAATGTTACTGTCGGGGCTCAGAAGGGCATCAATGTAGTGAAGACCTTGGCTTCAGTGGGAATTCAACAGAGAGTTCTTTTTCTCTTAATGCAGCTGGTGGTTCATTTCGTCATAGACTATGGTCTGGGCATCCTTTCCCTGTCCAAGACTCAGAAAGGCAGGTTGGAGAGAGTACAAAATGCAGCTGTGAGGGCTGTTCTAGGTTGCACAAAGGACACCCATGTTGTCTGTATGAGATACATCCTTGACCTGGCCAGCATCGGAGTGAGGCATAAGGTGGCACAGGCAAAGTTGTACTTGAATGTTTTGGGAGACCCGAGGCACCCTTTGCATGACAACCTAAGCAGCATCAAAGGAAACAGGGTCAAACGGGGCAGCTCATGGATGGCAGGAGCCGAAGACTCCTTGAGGAAAGTTTGTGGCATCAATGAAATATGCTGTGGAAAGGAATGGTTTGAACTGAGCCCCATTTGCAGAAGCCTGGCCAACGTTCACATCACTATGGGTCGTGAAAGACGGGAATGTGCTGCTGTCATTAACAACAATGACATATGACAGTTAATTGAAGAGCATTTCAAGCCAGAGGATCCAGTGATCTATACGGATGAATCAGTCAGGAGGGGTGAGAGAAGTGGATGGGGTTTTGTGGTGTACAGTGGGAATAAAAAGGTTCATAGCATGTCAGGGGCCATAGAAAGAACGACTTCAAGCATGAAAATGGAGACTGAGGCCATAACAAGAGCGCTTGGCTGGCTTCAAAATACAAGAACAAAAACTACCCATCTCATCATTGTCACAGACTCTTAGAGCATCTTGCGAAGGGTCGAGAAAGGGCTTCTTCAGAGTGAATGGATGAACCCAATACAACACTCATCACTTAGAGCTATCACGTGGATATTCTGTCCTGGGCACTCTGAAGTGAAAGGCAATGAGGAGTCTGATAGGCTGGCAGGCAGTGCTGTGGTTGTTGGTTAGGTGAAATTTGACAAAGGAGAAGTGTTGAAGACCCTGGAGAAAAAGTTGCGGGATGAAGAAGACAGGGAGACAGCAGAACACCACGCAATCATTAGGATGCAGGAAATGGGGATAGAGAGGGGAGAAGGAAGAAAGGAACTATTATCTGTAGAGGAAAGACGTCGCCATAATCAGACAGCCACAATCAGTATGGATACCTTGCGGGCTTTGATGCTGGGGAGAACTGAGCACTTACGGACCTGTCTGGTGTGCAATGACGTTGTTGCCCAGGACATGTAATACAGGTTATAACGAGAATCTTGCTATAACAGATATTTCGCACCAGTCCCCTCCCTCTCGTTATAACAGGATTCCACTGTAGTAGTGGTACCTGGACTTCAAAACTTCTGGAGCAGAAGTGTAAAATGGTAGCGGCCTAATATATTGAGTGTTTTTTACCTGCCATATGTGTATTTATTCAAGTTTGTTGTAATGCATGTTAGATGTAAGCAAAGAAAAAGGGGGTAAGGGGGTATTTTTATAGAATCACTCCCGTCTGATGGCTGCTATCCATGCCGCTTTTTTGTTTAAGCTTGCTTTAATAGTCAAGGGGGGGGGGGGTCCCCTGAAATAACCATTTGCGACGTTTTTTTATGCCCAAGTTGTGTTCAGGACCCTAAAGAAACCGAAAAGAGCTACAAAATAACACCCTTTATGAGACGGGAGTGGTTCTATAAATTATTATATTTATAAACAATACAGTGGAGTCCACTTATAGCGAGTTCTGAAATAATGAGAGGTCTGTTATAAAGACACTATTCTAAAAGTAGTAAAAGTCTGTTTTTTCCCCCTGCTTTATCATTGTAAATAAAATACTGCTATAGCGCAATCACACAAACACGCGAGTCGGTTATAGCGGAATATTGCTGCTTCTGTGCACAATGCATAGGCCATTTACACAATATGGTATGCGTGTAAAACCTGGCCAGTTGAGAAACATGTTGGTGATATCTAGCGAAACAAAGAATGGGAGAGTCCACGTGTGCCAACAATTAAGGCCGGAGCGAATGAGTGGGGAGGGTGTGGCATGCGCAGATAAGCAGAAACGCATTGCGTGACAGACCAGCCTAGTCTAGATTATCTAGGCCTTCATGCCTCTCACTTCTCCGATGCGAGGATGGAAAGGTCACAGTGCTGTGATAGATGGAGCGATTGTGTGATGTGGGCAGGATGTGGTATGTTCACATTGTGCGCAAGCAGACGGAACACACCACAGGGTGTGGTGGGGTGGGAGACAACACAGAGGGCTAGTTAGCCTTGAGTCAGAGAACTTTCTGATCGTCAGCCAACGCCGAGCTGTCAACATTGCTAGCGCTAGAGAAAGAAACCTGATTCGATTTTTGATCAAGTAAGACCTGGAAGTCATGTTGAACCAAATCATCATTATGGGAGATAACAAAATGAAATAAATAAAACACCAAACTCATAGATTAGGCCTACTTTAATAACACTGCAGTCGTAAGGGAAAACGACGAATGGTCCTGCACAGGTAGCGAGGCAAATTTTTCGGGAGAGGCAAGAACTGTTTTCACTTTATCTCTTCTATTTTTCAATCTTTTAAGCTGTAATTCACCAGATATCTGATTGAGGTGTTCATAAAGCAGTTTCTAAAGTTTGAATGGTTTAGGTTGAAAAGTAGCAAAATTATTCGACATTCGTCGTTCTCCCATACATTGCACACCCTCAGGTGAGCCTTGCGAATGAAGCGAAAACGACGAATGGTACGGTTCGTCATTCTCCTTTACACTTTTGAACGTCTATGGGCGTAAGCGATGGTCAGTTGTGACGCATTATTGACAGTAATGACTGTGTACTAGTTACTGCAAATAAAAATAAGATGTATACAAACTATCTATTATACGTATAAAGATAGGTGTTTGTTATATCCCAACTGTAACTCGGAAGACGTCCTTAGTTTTCTTTCCTCACTTGGTTAAATACTACACAGTCAGGGTTCAAATCAGATGTGCACACATTTTCAACAGCTTGATTAAAAACTGTCTCATTCGGAACCAAAGTTTGGTCTCCATGATATCTCTTTATTGTATTCTCTTCAGAAGCGAGTTTTACTTTTATTTTCGCTAATTGCAAAAATTTTCCCTGCACGACCAAAAGTATCAACAATGTTAGAATGTCAATAATACGATCAAATCATTGCAAAGTCAAACTTTCTCGTAAGAAATGTAACAATCTAACAAGACTGTATCACAAACGCTTTTGGGAGAGATAATGCGACGCGTTGTATTTATTTAATAAAGGATTCAGTTGATCGGATCGGAAAACATACCACAAAGTAGAGATCGACAAGGACAGTTTGAATCTGCAAGACATTATTATACTCGATCGCCTGCTCTTGTCAATTCACACCATCAGCATAGGCCTAATACGTGAAGACAGACAGAAAGACACACTAAGTGATGCCGAATTTGCCCAACGGCAGAGACTAGGGGACAACGCCGAGCGAGCAGTGATCCTTGACCGATCGACCATTCGTCGTTCTCCCTTACACTGAGCTCTGGTTCGGAGCTTGCCAGTGTAAGGGAAAACGATGGAACTCTCAATTACGCAACAACGGATTAGGATATGACAAAAATTTTTACACCATCAGATGCAGAATTAAATACTCTATGAAATAAATAAAAATAAAATAATGGAAAAATTTTGACCATTCGTCGTTTTCCCTTACGACGGCAGAACAGACATTTCGCACCTGTCTCCTCCTTCTCATTATACCAGGATTCCACTGTACATAGAATTTGTTCTATGGCCCTCACTGTAAAGTCAGCAACAAGACAAAGGTTGTATAATTAAAGAGACAGCAGGCCTACAGCTTTCATTCTTTCCATAAATGTTTTGGTCCTGCAAGATGTTAAACTGAAAGACGTACTATAGCTTGTCCTGACTTGAAATTCCTTCCTAATATTTCCATCTTCTTCTTCTCGATCGCATCACACTTGAAGTCCGGTATCTGTCGTAAATTGGGCCGTCCTGCTCAGTTCATCTGGCGGCCCGTATAGCTTCTCTTGTAGCGTCAGTGGGGTTGGCCACGTTTCCTGTCTCAGGGCCCAGTGTGTCTTGCAGTGCTGAAGGATGTGTTCAACAGTACATGTTGACCATCCCCGACCCGGCGGGTCCCAGGTGGCGGATAGGGAACGGCCACTGTAATGTAGGTTAGCTGTGAATATGTTGAATAAGCAGCCCCGGACCAACTGGCGATGCTCTTACCAGGACGGGGTGAGGTGGTAGGTGGCACTACCACGTCATTAAATGCCCTAGGAGTCCTCTGACGGGAGCATCATGCGGAAAAGGACCGCATTAAGTCCTGGCTACGGGTGGGATCCGGTAACAATTCCTCCCTGTGCTCCCAGGGTAGGTCCTTGGACCTGGAGCTGGAGTGCTGAAATCGGAGGTATTGGGCCGCAAGGCGCACTCTAGAGAACCACAATACCACATAATACTGCTATATATGACACTAATATTTCCAGAGAAACACTATTATAATGTCAAACCCGCTTTAATGGCCACCTGTATAAGAAACCATCTTTGCAAACAGCCCCTTTCCATTTCCTCTCTTGGGTATTTTTACATTTTATAAGACACTGTGTGAGACGGCCACTTTTCTCCTCAACAATGGTTAGCTGTCTTAGACAGTTTCGACTTTATTAACTGAAAGGCTGGATCTCTCTTTCAATTTTCTGAGTTTGATTCCTTGTTGTGTGTTAGGAAATCTGTCTTCTTTTCCCATACAAAGTCGACTCAGCTTTAACCCCCCCCCCCCACCCCCCCCCCATTCATTCCCATCCATCGCTTCCTGTCATTATCTCAGCTTTGTTGCTTCAAATTCGTCCACAGAACACACACCAGGAGGGCCTTTTATCGTTGCTGGTTACATCATTAGATCATGAATCTAGATAAAGGGAAAAATAAACTAGCACCAAAACTTACCAGACAGTCTTCATCACAAGTTCCACCGGTAAGCGAAGAGAAGACAGGCAAACGTTTAAGATCACGTGCACAGCAAGTTGAAAACGTAAGTTTACAAGTTTCGATGAAAGGGTAGCAGCGATAAACAGTGTAATCTATCTGTGTGTTTTTAGTGTGTGTTCTTGAAAAATACTTGTAATTATTAGTAGATGCAGTGGTATGAAAGTGTTCACCCATGCCTTTTTATTATTGTTTCATTAAATGTTTTTTCCACTTATTTTTGTTTTGTTTTTGTTTTTTTTATTTCTGATATCATATTTGTTATATATGTGTTGTTTTATCTTAATGTTGCAAATAATTATGCAATATGTGCCTTTAGCCTCGTCACAGAGAACAATTTACCTGCGGCTATCTGTATACAAAGTTTGAGTTCGTATTATCATGTGCTACGATTATGCAATGACATTTTGAATGATTTTGATTCTGACTGTTAAGCATTATACTGAGATTTGAGATTGATAGCTCTCTGCATCTGCATTGTCACAGCTTCCTGATCCCATCTATATATGAGGCATCGTGGTGAAATCAGGCAATTATCAAAAGAAATCGAAGAAACTGGCCTTTTTCCACTCTTTGGGCAATTTTTATCAATTTTTAAAAATCTCCTCAACACCTAGATCTATAAGCCTATGGACCTAAAAACACATTTCTGGGTGGATTTTACTGAAAAACATTGATCGAAGGAACACAAATGTAATGTAAATTTACAGGTTTTCAAGGACATTCAAGCTTTGGAATTCTCCAAATCTTAGCGGCTATTTTTTTGCTAATTTTACCTCCGACACCAGACAACCCCAACCTCCTTCAATCACAAATATCTTTGCTTCTATTCAAGATAGATGGTATTTTTTTTTCCTCAAAAGCAAGACCAATGAACAAGCTCTAAGATTATACCAATAACTCCTTATGCCCCAAAATTGATGATTCCTGATTCCACAGCGTCGTGACACTATATTGTTCTGTCGAACCTGCCTCGGCGGTCACCTCTCCATAACGTTCATCTGAACTAATGGCCTTTGTTTGTGAGGCCCTTGTGTTTTTTCCTGTATTTTTAACCTGTTCATAATGATCCCTGTCCAATGCGGCCTCAGTCGGTCATTTTTGCTACAAGTAGGTCTCAAACCTGTGATTCTACTTGCGACCATGAAAAACAATTTAATGTACAATGGAACTCCAATTTAATGAAAGGAGATGGATTCCCCGTTTTTTTAATTCTTAAAAATCAGTAAATTCAACAAAAATACATAAATGAGCAAGCTCAGATTCAAAGAATTGCTTGCAGAATGAACAGCCCCTGCTGACATAGCTTCTGTTATTTTTCTCCCGAAACAAAGTTTATCTATTCCTGGAAACCGTCCATGGCACCTGCATGGTGAACCATTATTCGCTTTACTTATTGTTTATATCTTATGCGATCAATCAGCGGCCTTCTTTTATACCAACATACGCGTTGTTGGCATACGCACGTCTCTTCCTAGCATGTGTCAGAATCGAACCAGTGACCAGCACATGTGTGACTGTACTGTGTGTGCGTGTGTCTTGGGTGAGAGGGCACAAGCAGTCTGAACATGGAATGTCAGTAGAGATAGAAACGCGTCACAGTCAGTTCCTTCCCCCCGGCTCCTGTATATTACAATGATTAGTTAGTCTTGACGTAATCTACATATTATAATGAATTGCGCACTGGTCTGTGGAATCAGACATTTGACGTATGCTAGGCTTTACACAGCAACACAACTTGTTTGGCAAACAATACATCATAGATGATAGGAGATACGGGCGTGCCATTGAAGGAATTGAATCTTTTGCAGTGTGTGATTGGTAGAGTTCAGTGTATTTTCTTAGAATTTTCCAGCATTTCTTTGGTATGGCATTAAAGAAACGAAAACCAAAATGCCCATCATTTGAAACCTTGCTACGCTACTTTTGATTGAGGAAGTCGAAATATAGTATGCATTACTTGCTCGGTGCCTGTAGTTATTGACACAACAAAACCTCATGTTTCCTGTAACTATAACACTTGGATTCAACTAAATTGAAGGTCAGGCCCGGCGACTTCGTTGAATGCGAGTTCCACTTTATTTAATTTCGAAGGCCCAGTCAAATTTAGTTCACTTCAAATCAATTATATGCTCCATCCATGAAGGAATATCTTGCTGGCCCAGACTGAATCGAATGAGGCAAATTGACAATGTACTGTACTGTAGCTCTGTCAACACTCCTCTGTTAGATGACAATTACGAGGAAACATTTTGGAGGATCTTTTTGAAAAATGTATTTTCATTTGTGTTAAGAACTGTAACATTAATTAATACACATACCCCATTATATTAATTTATTTCAGAATGACAGTGGTCATGCATTGCGAAAGTTGTCATTTTCCAACCCTGGAAAGTTCATGGAGGATTTCAACCCCGAGCAGAGTACCCGTGAGCTGAGAAAGTTGAAAAGAAAACTTGGCAGTAACAAGTAAACCTATATTTTCTGTACTCTTTTAGATTGTTCTTGATATAGTTTGTCAAGACATAGGTGACACAAGGTTAGATTAGGTTTACCTGTTGTTTGAAAGCTTGTCATACCTATTCAAGTCAAGAATGTACACAAACTGAAGATTCCGAATGACCAAATCTTAATAATCTGTTGGATGAGAGTCATTTATTGCATTTTTTTTTTTTATGCTGCCTTTAGCTTTCTACCCTATAAAACCTTTGATTAACTATTTATATTTTTACCTTTGTCAAGCCTCTTACAGTTTGTCAAGGTGCAATAAAGAACAAAGTTGCATGTGCCTGAGTGTCTTTTTTTTTTCTTCTATTTTTTTCTCTCACTTTTTAATCATAATGTATTACTGTAGTTCCCACCTAAACACAGAACTCAAAGGGCCCTTAATCTCTAAAAGCATGTTTACACAGGGCAAACGTTTATATGAGCAAAGGGGAGGAAAGGGTACATCCATGTCATTTGCTTCATAGTTTAGTGATTTATTTGGATTTGTACCCTGCCCCCCCCCCCCCTAAATTGTTTAGGTTTAATGTCCCTTTCAACTGTAAGAAAGGACCTCCGAATTCAACACTCATCTTTGATTAGACGGAGCCAGATGGGTGGAGAACTTAAAAAACTCTCCAGAGCAATCCACGTTCAGAACACCACGTTGGGAATTCAGACTAGGGCCATTTGCACTGCTAATGGCGTGCCCAGCCTGGTCAATAGACTCTCGAGTTGGGGGGGGGGGGGGTAAGATTTTTTTTGGGGGGAGGGGGAGGGGATTTTTTGTTCTTTTTGGTCAGGTTGGGAGGATAGGAATAGAATAATGGGGGGAATTTATGTTTAAGTTTCATTTACTCCATCAAATGTGCAGTGAAATTTGTTGCACTTGCACACATGCACCTTCATTATACATGATGGCTGTCTATTGTTCATTTCATGAAAAGATTACTCTTCATAATTATTGTACAATGTTAAAGAGTGGCGCATCATAGTCTTCAGTAGTATAACATGTATGTTTAACCTCCAGAGGGGTACATCACAATACATGTAGTCGTGTAACCAATGACGGGCAAATGATACATCCAGTGACAAAAGGAAAATAGTATTAGTATGTAATAAATGGAGGTTTGAGATAGGTGGGGGGTAGGAATGGGGCATTTACAATTGTGTAATGCTAGTAATAAATAGAACTTTGAACTCTTGTTGAGGACACATGTTCCTTTAGTAATTTTGAATTTTGTATTGGGCATTAGAGTTTTGTGCTTTGACCTTCTGAGAGACTTTTCTGTAGTGATTCCTTGAACTAGTATGTTTTAAGTTCTTCAAGCACAGTTTATCTTTTGACCAAGTCATTAAATCTATTGGCCTACGGTATCTAGTTTTCTATCGCATTCCTTTGTGTTGTGCATCAAAGACCTAAATATTACTGTCGGCGACCAATTAGAGACTCCCTCAAAGACACATTTCAAGTGACCTCTAAAGAGACACTTCAGTTACCCAAACATATGGCTCACCTAATCATATATACCGGTACATGTCCGTGGACAGTAGGGTGTTATCACTTTAACTGTGATGCAAGGTGTCTAGTTTGTTGGGAAAATTTCCATTTGTCGAGTGTTACCTGTCGTCATATTTTGCGGATCAAAGCTTGTGTTTAGAGGTTTCTATGATTGTAGGTCTAAATTATACAGTCAGAAAAAAATTCGTATAGCGAATGCGTGCCTTAGGCAGATATTGCATATCTAGTGTTGGTGCATAGATATATGTATTTTTGCTTACTTTATTGATTTTGCAGGGTTCACAAAAATCGGATGTACAATGCAGATGGGTTGCTGATTGACAATGGTGCAGACTGGTGTGATTGCTTGGAAGTTGACTGTCCTGGTTGCCACTTTCCATGCCCAAAATGCAACTCTTGCAAATGTGGAGCTGAATGCAGGTTGAATCGAAAGTGGTGTTATGATGTGGTGGAAATAGATGGGTCGCTTACAGTTTATAAGTGGTCTTTTCAACCAAATCCTCAAAACTGAGACTGGGAAACTGTGTTCAGTGTTTTTTCAAAACACCCATTGTTCTGTGTAAATTTGCCCTGAGTTAGGATTTGGATTTTCTTGCGCGCTAATGAGCGCCATCTTCCCCTATTTTGTGGGTTTTAAAAAATCAAATCACAATTCTTCTTTTGTTGTTTTGAATCCTAGTCATTGCATCATGTAAAATACCCCCTGGCGATGCCACTGACGAAGTGTCTTTAGGCCATTCCTAAAGGGGGGGCATTTCTCGTTCTAATGCACAGTAGAATTGTAAATGGGCTGATCCAACAATGTCATGCTCATAACTGTGCCTGAACTACAACAGTGAACTGCTGCTTTTTCTTTTCTAACTCTTACTATCGTCATTTTCCTCTACTTCTTTTGTATGTTTGTCGCACTCTTGTGACCCGCTATTTCCGGGGTGCCTTAATAGTCAAAGCAGACTTTTGCTGTTTAAACTAGAGAGTTGAGCAGAGTAAGTCTGATTCCCTGTAAGGACTTCTCTGTTGACATCCACCCCTTGGCGCTCATATGACCTTGTGCAGTTGCGAGCGCCGTAAAAGCTCTACTAAAACAAAAATGACAATAACTATTGCAGGTCTGCCCTCATTTTGAAGCTCCTCAACCAAGATAAAGTATGCAGACCTCAAACAAATGTACACGTACTTCATTCAGGTTAAAGACTCTGAAAATCAGAGTCCTAAATTTGTAAAGAACTAAAGACTCTATCGTAGCACATGTGTATAATTAGTGAACAGACTTCAAAGAGGATGGTTACATTCCACAGTGGGTCTGTTCTATAAACCTAATAAGGCAAACAATGACTAGTAGATCATGTTACCCATTCTGAAAAAAAAACTACCTTTTTTTCATCGTGATTACTTCTTGGCACTCCTGATGTTGAACTACTCAGTACTTTTCCATTACCTGTTTTCCAGTTTAAAAAGCAGGGGGAGGGGGGTTAAATACAAAGGAGAGAAGAGTCTACAAATGACATTGTGCACTACAATGATCATTAGAGTAATGTTGGTTATAAAATCTAGCCTGCTGTCAAATTTGTGTACCAAAGTGATCAGAGAGAAATTTCACACAAGAATGAGTGTATAAATTTGCTTTACAGTAAGTACAGACAGTTTGTGAGTGAAGCTAGAAGAGACGTGGTCTGCCCCATCCACTGTAAATTTCCTTTGTTCTTTCAATTTATTTCCAATATTTTTTTTGTAACTTTGTGCATAAATGAATACCTGACTTTCTGTGGTATAGACAAACAAATTTGATTTTTCTGTTTCAATTTCAATTGCATATTTGTGCTTTTGTTGAAAGCAAAGTACAATCGAACCTTCCCTCATGGCCTCCTGTCCAAAGCAATCACCTGTATAAATTACCATTTCTCACTTTCTCCCTTGCGTTTTTTCTCTATTTATATATATTAGCACTGCCCAAGATGAACTCCCAAACCTCCCTTTCTGCCCTCCTTTCAAAAGAAAACAATAAATAAATGGGTGGTTGATACCTATAAAGGGAATGGTTTGTTTTCTTTATTTTCATCTGTTCTGCCCAAGACGTCCATATGTGTAAGACAACCACTTTCTCTTTGACAATGGATGACCATCTTAGACAGTTTCAACTGTATCACTCTGTATAATGTAATTTTTAAATTAATTTTTAGCTCACTGCCTCTTGTGGTGTTACTCAAGACTGTTTTTTTCAAAGGAGGTAGGACAAAAAAGAAATGTCAAATTTTCACAGTGCCCTAACCCCCCCCCCCCCTCCTCATCCTTCACATTGATTCCGTCCTTTCATGCTGAAATAAAATACTGGTGGTGGGTGAGGTTGATGTAAGATATAAGAAATGGGAGTATGAGTGTGATGATTTGACTGTAGGTTGCAATGTACATAAATTATGAGAGCCTTGGAGGACATCTGTATGTGTGATCTTCAATACCCACAGAGGGGTGGGTAATGAAAGAGGTTGAGCTCTCTAGATATTAATATATCTCTCCATACATCCCTTGCTTTCAGTGATGATCAGACTAATGATGATAATTTGACTCCTTTCTTTGGTGTGTGGTCTAAGGGAAGGTCTCACTTTCAGTAAAGTTAATTTCAAACCAAATCCAAGCTTTATTTCTGTGCTTGATGTTAAGGCAATGACTATTTTGGTGACTTTACTTTACTTTTATCCGCCGCTTATATTATACCCTTGTGTTCCGTAGGCTCATGTGACCTTATGCAGTTGCGAGCTCCGTAAAACCCCATACTAAACTAAAATACCCTTTTGGGTGTCGCGGGAAGAAAGACGTCTCTCTGCCACCAGCCGGAGAGCCTGGGATAGGGGGATGCCGTGAATTGTTAATGTTTCCCTGACTCTGTCTTTCTCTGTCGCTCTCCAGCCATGTTGCCATCCATTTTTTTAATGTCGGCACGTTGTGCTGGGTGGTGTTTTGGTAATCGCATGAGATATCCGAACCATTTAATTCTTTGGTGTTATTTTGGTGACAATTACTTCAATAAGCTCACACAAGGGGGTGAATTTGTTTATTTGTTCTTTTTTACCTCGGCAACAAGAACGCAAGTTGAACAATAATTTTTTTCCTCAGTCTTTCAATGTCATCTTTTTATGTTTCATCCCCCCCCTCTTATCCTTTATTGTAATCTTAAAAGGGTATGATAACATTAACACAATTGTATTTTCCATGGAGATGAATGTAGTTTGTAGGCAAACGTACTTGTAGGCATTGTTACATCATGACAGATAGCAGTGTCTGTGCAGAGTAGTCTTCTTTAACCCTTTGAGCCCTGACCTCCTGAGGTTACCATACCTCTCTGCCTGAGCTCCTGAGTAATATATTACTAACATCCATAAGATCGTCAGAATCACATTCCATATCCCACTCACGGTAGTCCTCGTCATTACCAGCATCTAATTCAGAACGATCTCCAAAATGACCAATAACATTTTGTGTGGTAAACACTGTTCTCCGTGTGCATTTTGTCCTAGGCTGAGCGGGTTGGAAATAAGGTCTCGCTCTCTGGTGTACCGGTGGCTAGGCATATAGGCAGTTTCACGCGCCTCCGCAAGGGCTCAAAGGATTAAATGTCTTGTGATGGTGGCACTTGTGTCTCATTGGACAAATGTTCAAGAAAATGTATGTTGCAATGAATGCAAGGGCAAAGTTGATGTTCTTCACTTTGTTTTGTCAATTTGTGTCTTGTCAGTTGTTAAACCTTCTCTACCTAGTCATTCTTTGTCTTTTTCGTCTTGAGATTGATACTGAGTTATATTTTCCATTGGCTACTATCTTTTGCCATCTGTTCCATGGATCCAGTTCTATTCATTTGCAATACAAATGAATACTTAAAGATAAAGGTTTATGAGCTGGATGAAAGATCTTGTGTACGTTATTTTGACGATTGCTTGACCTTTTTACTATTGTCACAATTGCAAGATACAGTGGAATCCTGTTATAACGAGAGGGAGGGGACCGGAGCAAAATGTCCGCTATAGCAGGATTCTCGCTATAACTATAAGGGATCCAGTAATAAATTAAAGGGTAAACTGTAAAGTAGGCCTAATCTATGAGTTTGGTGTTCTGTTTATTTCCTTTTTCTATCTCCCCTGATGATGATTTTGTTTCAACGTGACCTTTAGATCTTACTTGATCAAAAATCGAATCAGGTTTCTTTCTCTAGCGCTAGATCTAGCGATGTTGACAACTCGGCGTTGGCGATCAGAAAGAAAGGGCTCTGGGCTAACTCGCCCACTGTGTTTTCCCCCCACCCCACCCCACCTCACTATGTGGTGCATTCTATCTGCTTGCGCACGTCACACATTCGCTCCGTCCATCACATTGCTGTAACCTCTCCATCCCCACATCGGAGAAGTGAGAGGCATGGTAGGCCTTGATAATCTAAACTAGGCTTACGCTGGCCTATCACCCGATGCGTTCTGCTTGTTTGCGCATGTCACACCCTCCCCATTCAGTCGCTCCGGCCTTCATTGTTGGCACACGTGGGCTCTCCTATTCTTTGTTTCACTAGATCACCAACAACTTTCTCAACTGGCGAGGTTTTTCTTTGTGTATAATTGGCCCATGCACTGTGCACAGCAGCAGCTATATTCCGCTATAACTATAACCGACTCGTGTGTTTGTCTGATAGCGCTATAGCAGTATTTTATTTACAAAGGTAAAGAAGAGAAAAAAAGCAGGGTTTTAGAATCGTGTCTTTATAACAGACTTCTCGTTTTTTCCGGATTCATTATAAGTGGACTCCACTGAATTACTTTTCCGTAAGTCAATGTTGATTGTAAAAATACATTGTTTTTTCTCAGGTGTTTCAAAGATCTGTATTCATTTGTCTGGCTGAAATTGTTGGAAAGAAGTCCTTATTGTTATTTCAAATTATTTGCATCATGTAACTTTGATCATTTATGCATTGTAACTAAGTATAATTAATGCAGATCCCAAATTTTAATTCTATGTTGATTCCAGTTCTAATGGTTCATGTTTTTTTCCCTCAAAGTTTTTCATGGCTTGGAATGGAATCTCAAAATATTAAACTTGACATTTGTTCAAAATAGTTCAACCTGATGTCTTTTCTTTTTTATGTTACACCAGTACATCTATAGAGAAAAAGTAGGACTGAGGTACCGGTTTAATCTGTGACTGAGATGTACCGCCGGTACATGTGCATTCACTGGCTGAAAATGACTTTAAAGGACTCTATATAATTTCTTTTAAACTTCTTTTGTAGTTGTCCACTCTTGTATCATGTGTGTACTATTTACCTACACAAAATATTGACGAATGTGAATGGTACCTGTAGACTGTTCCAGATACAAAAAGTTGAAGAAAATGCCAAGAAACTGAATGCAGTTTGAAAAAGATGCTCAGGAAATACGTCTTTGAAGAGGGATTGTTAACGGCATATATGCTTCTTAAGGTACAAGAAAGGAATATTTCAAAATTTTGACAGACATAAGACACAAGAAGGCCTTTGCAGAAAATATTGACACAGTCCAAGCATTTTGTTGTTGTTTTGTTTTTATTATGCCCGGGTATTAAGTCACTTGTTTATTTACTCATCAGTCAGTCAGTCAGTCACTCAGCATTGTGTCCGTTCCCCAACTTCCCATTGTCCATTTATTCATATTATTTTGTCTTATCTGCTTTCTTGCAAATACATCTAGCCAACCTGTCTCTTTTTTTGTTCTTTTTGTTTCTTATTTTGATATCTTGTTCTTCAATCATTGCTATCCTTTGGTAGATTGGATGGGGGTGATAGTAAATAAATGTGACTAGTAGATGGTACAATTCCTCTAATGGTGGTGAAACGCATACTACAGATTCTATTATATATCTAAGCCTAGATATTTTTATGCATGATATTTACTTTAGTGTATATATATGTGTCAAGACACGGTACGGTGGAATCTGGCTCTCGTCAATTTTGGGGAGTTTAGAGTTATTGTTGTCATCCTAAAGCTTGTTCATTTGTCTTGCTTTTGGTGAAAACTATATATCCATGTTTCTTGAATACAAGTTGAGATATTTGCGAATGAAGGAGGTAGGAATCACCTGAATTCAGAGGTAAAATTAGAGAGAAAATGACTGCCAAAGATTCAACGAAAGGTGTTGGGTTCCCCGATCTTTTTATTCATAAAAATCATGAAAATAAGTCTGATTCAACGAACACATAAATGAGCACGCTCGGATCCAATGAAGTTGCTTGCAGAATGAACTGCTCTATACTGCATACGACCAATCAACGGCCTCTTTTTTATATCAACACATGTGCTGTTATCATGCACCCATGTCTTAGCGCATGTGTTGGGTTAGGATAGGCAGCCAGCACACATGTGACATATGACTGTGTGTGCGTGTTTCTGGGGGGATGGGGGGAGGGCGTACAAACAGTCTGGGTGTGGAACGTCAGTAGAGATATTTTCCCCGGTTTCTGATCAATATTACAATGATAAGCTAAGCTTGAAATAGACCTAGATCTACGTAATGAATTGCCTGCTGGACTGTGGAATCAAACCTTGCTGTATGCTAGGCTCTACTCAGAAATATAACTTGTTTGGCAAACAATACGTTATAGATGATAGATAACACAGGCGTGCACTTGAATGTGTTGGCCTTTTTGGACAGTGTGTACTTGGTAGAGTTAAGTGTATTTTCCTGGAATTTTCCAGCAATTCTTTGGTGTCAAAGAAACGAAAATGCCTCTCATTTAAAATCAAACTACTTTTAATTGAGAAAGTCAAATAGATACATTACTTGCTCGGTGCCTGTAATTATCAACAGAAAAACCTCATCATATTGGCCATAACAAACACTCGAATTTAACTAATTTACAGGCCAGGCCCGACGACTTCATTGAATCTGAGTTCCATTGCATTACCCTTGAAAAAAAAACATGCACTGTACTGGGACCTTTATTTACACAGAAATCAATGGCACAACAGTTGGCTGGAGTCATTTGTCCGGAAAAAAATTATAATCTCTGCAGTCAACATCAAAGCAACTGAACAAAAATATTTCTTGCGCAGCCACAGCAATTAAGCATCCTCTCTTTTTCTGAAATAGGCCAATAAGGAAAAATATGAGCGTCATGGTTAAAAGTACATTTTCAACAAAACGCAGTTTTCACAATTTTGTCTTTTGTGCTAAGGATATTCAGCATGGTGTCATATATATATAATGACAGTTAATATGACGTGTTACAATGAGATTTTTCTTTCTCCAGTTAGGAGAATTGGAGGAAGAGAAAAGATTTTGAAAGTAAAGACCACTTTCAGGATGCACAACATGTTTAAAGGTGCCGGCAAGAACCTCAACTGAGATCAATTTTAGTGAACCTGGGAAGAGATGACAGAGGATCGCAGCTAATAGAAAAGTGAAGACAAGATCATCCTCAAGGTGAAAGAAAAAGGCATAATTTTGAGGACTTAGATAATACCTCATTGTAATGCAATACTAGTAGGTTTACTGTATACTTGGAAGTCGCAAGATACAGAACTGAGGAAATCTGCCTTTCTTTACACTCACTGCAACTAGGATTTCCTATCAATCATTGAATTCATTGGCTCAGTCTGTCACAAGCTTGTTTAGCACAGCACACAGAAAGCACTTAAGGCAAGGAGCTAAAAAAAATTGGGCTCTTTTTTAATTTGCCATATGTGTAATGTTTGCTGTTACATAACTGTCTTCAGTGTAATTGAGGGTACATGTAATAGATAGGGTTTTGAATGGAAAGAACTACATTGTATCATTCCTGGGCAACCAAGAGGAATATTATATATGTTTAGGTTGCTTTTTGCTCACACTTATCGTACAAATTACGTCTCATTTCATAAGATTTTAGTACTAAAAATATGAAGGTTTCAACATTTTTCTATCAATAGGGTTCAAATTTCGCAAGATGTCTTTAGATCTACAACCATATTGCAACGTTTTGTCAACATCATATCCTAGGCTAGTCTAATAAGTTTTTGCAGGGGAATTTTTTTTAACCCTCCCCCCTAAAATTCTCGCGTTTTTTCCAATGTAGCACACAAAATAATCTACTACTAAAACAAAACTAGAGTCTAGATTCATTGAAGTATGCAGTTTTCTTGTTGACAAAAGTTTTGTGATGAACTTACCAAATAACAAAGAGATTGCTTGAAAAATGAAAAGCCTTAGGATTTTTTCATTGTCCTAAATTCTGAGGTAACTGTTATATAATAGCTCTATACATGTCAGCTGTCGATGAATGTTTCATCTGCATTCAAATGTCTGATTCTGATCATTTCCCAAGAACATGCTGAACACAATCGATGACATTGTGTAGCCCATATGACGAATCTAAATATATGGGAATTTCTGAAACGCCTTCCCTTAAACATAACAAACAGTGTCGTATGCTCTGATGGCACAGTACACCAACCTGTACAAAAAAACAAAAACAAAACAAAAGCTGGTTTAAAGGATCATAATATCTTTGGACCAAATCGATTTGACTTAGGCCTAAATATCCGACCACATAATGTATTTTGAACTGTTCAGTCTGCTGTCCAACTGCCATCGTCACATTACGTATTACATCCACTGATTTTACCTGATAATTCTGGCGTAGCTGGCTCATCAAGTTTAATGTTTTCGTATTCACTGTTAGATTTTGGTTAAAATACGAAGATGCTGGAATATTTTTATTTTTTTTAATGCCCCAGCTCACACTCCAATGACCGCTGGAACCAGTTGTGATTATCCTATTCTGGAGGGGGGGGAAATGGAACGGCCAAAAATGTTGACTATGACAATCGTACTCTAGAATCTAGGCGAGGCCCCATGGTCATATTATTGATTGAATTTACTATTTACCAAATTTGTTGGTGCTGTATAATAGATTCCTACCATTTTGAAGGGTAAGATACTAGAATCTAAATCTAGATCTATGTTTTATATTGCTCAAATTTTTGGAATGGGATTGTTGGGTGAAAGTGGAGTGGACCTGTTTTTCCTTCACTTGATTTTTTTGATGTTTTGGTGTCAGAGTCAGCTTGTTTTGTAGATAGGCTACTCTTTCTCAACTTATCTTGTCTGTCAGGCTACTATTTTATGATAGCTCCCTACACAGTAAACTGATGATACTGGAAGTCAACGCAAGTTAAAATCAAAACTAATTGGTAACTAAGTCTAAGAACTCCTCTATAGTTGCAGACTTCATGATGGCTTCTAGTACTAGTACTTCAAGATCTGGATCTAGATCTAGCTAGACTACCGTAAAAAGCAGTCCTCCATGCCCATTCTCATTCTCGCCATGTTTCCTTACCTTTCACTTTCTATGTCGAAAGTGGCTATTCTCACCCGCCCGGAAGTTCTCACAAGATCTACTCCTCCCCTCTTCTCTCTCTCTCTGTCTCTTTCTGAATACTGTCTATCGGTGTGGACGATCAAATTGACCAAAACAAAGTTTAAAAATGATGTTAAAACACAAAAGTAAATTAATTTGGTTGTCTACAAAGATGCTACGGCTATTTAACTTTTCGAATCGAGCCGAACTACGCGGGTCGCCATTTTGTTTTGTTCTCTCTCTCACTCTCTCTCTCTCCCCTGCCCACAGACAAAATTGTACGCTTTTAGTAGGCTACAAGTACAGTTGTAATGGAACGTTTGTTCACAGCACAGAATTCTACAATTTTTCTCTTATCACAGTGTAGAATTCTGTGGTTTAGGGTGAACGCAAAATTTGTTGACACGCGCACCGGGTGAGAATAGCCACAAGACCCGCCTGCACTATTCTCACCCCGGGTGAGAATAGAGGTGGCCTTCTATGTCAATGAAATTGCTCTATTTTTATGCAATTTCTGGACCTTGAATTCAAAATTATTTTTGAAATGTGTGGTGGCTCCATCTATCAGATTTCATGCATGATGGGGTGCGACGAGATGACCGTATGACGAAATGACTGGCTACCATCAAATTCTGGGTTAAAACAACCCTCCGGGTTTGTTTTTTTGTCACTCTAGGTCTAGGGGGAGGGGGGGGGCTGGAATCCCCGGATTGGTCCAAAGCGTGCAAATTATCACGCAGTTAGACATATTGTGATGTATCTATAGCTCAATTACGAACAATAAAATATTCCAAAAACCTATTGTGCGACGGAAATGAAGTTGATATTCGTGTTCAGCACATCAATATTTAGTCGAAAATGGACAACTGGTCGCTAAGTGTGAGACGGGAAGGAAAGTAAAAGAATACCAACTTTCCTTGTCAGGCTTTGTTGGCATTTTTCTGATTACCTCCCTGATGGTCAACTTCTAGACCAAAGAACAAGTATTCCGCGTAAGGGATGATTGATGTTCTTTGAAACTTGATTTACATAGAGTGATAAAAGTAGAGAAAAATTAGAGCCTACTAAACAATGTTTCACCACAGACTGGTAGATTTGTACCACGCACTTTAGATAGTGAATCAAAATGATAAATCAGAAGTTCTTTATTTGGTCATGTATATTTGGAGAAATATTTAATTCCCTAAAAAAATCCAGATAAAAGAAAGATTTCAACTAAAAGTTCATTGTGTAGCCTACAGTAATTTGACTGGCTTGTCCAATCAACAACACTTCACTGCTCAGACCTCAGATCTGTCTTTGTTGAGCATGTATAATGAAGAACACCTCAATAGAGTTTTGTCGGGACCAGCCTCAGTAGTTTAAGGGATACGTGAACAGTGTTATGCATTGGCTGTGTCAGAGAATCAAGGGAAGCAACAAAGATTGGGTCGGAACGGAGATTTTTCTTTTTTCGACCATTGCCCTAGATTAGATAGGTTAGATCTATGCCTATTGACTTGAATTTGAAATTTGAGAGAATTTGAAATTGACAAATTGAGAATGAGAAACATGATGAGCAACGCTTTTGAGTTCGATCGGTAATGGGCCTACCGGTACCAAGACAGTTTAATTGCGTTGGTCAGTGTGGGCAGTCATTAGTCTGCACCAATCGAATGGTGCCTTTTCAAATTTTTCAGAACATAAACAATTCAATTTGACAAGATAAGTGTTATGTTACGACTTACTTGAGTCTTGGAGTAGTAGATCTAGATGATAGTTGATGTTGGTGGGGCCCCACCTGCTGGTCGTCTGCTAGTTCTTCGTTAGCCGATGTTACTCGCTTCGGCTTCAGTGAGAGAGTGACCAGATTTCCCGCCTCTTGCACGAAATCACAGTCACGTGATACGTCCCTTAGGCCTACATCACAATAATTATTATTAAGGTGTGTTCACACTACATGTCCTTCTATTCTCAAGGTGCGTTTACACCACAATAAGCATATTGCAACAGTAATCAACAACTCGACGAAACAATGCAGCCTTACCCCACCTCTCCCAACAAGTGTGCAGCCTCTTGCAAAGAGGGGTGGGGCTGCCAATCTTGTGATACACAACCCCTCCTCTCGCCTACTCCACACAAGCCTAGGACCTAAGCACGCAAAAAAAAGCACAGCTAATTGCTTCTGTGGAGGGGGGGGGGAGAGTATTTACCGCCCTTGCCTTTTTCCGTTTTTATGATTATTATTATTATTTTGTCTCAAGTGCACCTCAAAGTACATTGACTTTAGACTTCTACAGTGTTGTAATTAGTTTGACTATTCCGTGTTTGTGTTCGAGCTTCGCGTAATTTTCTTACAAAGACAAAGAAGAAGAAAAAACGGGACCGCAGGCACATTTCGACAGATGTGTGATTTCGAGTTATCTGTCTTCGACCAATCCGGGTTGTACTGTAGTTGAAATTGAAAAAAAGCAGGCCTTCCCAGGATGGCTGCCTGAGCAAAATTCGAATACAGTGGTCTCCTTCTTCGACACTTCTGCATTTAAAGAACCTACGGATCATTTATTTATCATTGAACAACAAGGGAAGCTAAGTGGTACTGGTAGGAGTTAGGATGTATCCATTGAAATCTGCTTAAGAACCTAGTTCACCTAAAAATCTGCTTTTTCTGTCACGTGGTGACCAGGTTCTTAATCAGAGACCACTGTCCTTGTCATAGATTTGTATTACTCTTTAGTATGCCTGACATGAACCTGTTTCTATTGTTTAAAAAAATTAATTGAAAATGCAGACTGAATACTTTTATAGGATATAATACAACTGAACCTACTTTAATGACCACCTTTCCAAGACAATATCCTCTATACAAACTTTCACTTCTCCCTTTTTATTTTTTTCTATACAGTAGTCTCCACCTAAGATCCCATTGCTTACAACCCCAGTTTGCTTAAGATCCCACTGTGTTAAGGAAACAATATTTTTTCTCTGTAAAAGTCACCCAAATCATCCTGATCAGATGGGATCATATCAAACAGTTCGCTCTTTGGTGCTTCGGTTTCCCTAACCATAGCAGTTGTCTTTCGTCTGAATGTCTGGATTTGCTGCACAGACTGGGTTTTAATTGGTGCTGTCACAAACAGTGGTGGGTTTTGAGATGAGCAGGGAACTCGGTCAGAGATAGCAAGTTATACATTTTGGAGAGTTAAAGGAGTCGAGCATTGAGATTGACATAGAACTTGAGACTCACGATTGGATAAGTGAAAATGGCATGCTTCATGCCTTTGTGCCTGGTCATAATAGTTAACCACTCTTTGCTTGCCATAAATCTTAATAAAAACTCACCTAGAGGTCACGTGGGTTGATTTCAAAGAAAGGAGATATCATTTTACCAATTGTGGGCCTTACTATGACATGATTCACCTTGGATGAATCAGCTAAAATCCTGTTCACCTAAGACCCCACGTTCACCTTCCTCCAAAGCACCAGGATCTTAGGCACAGACTACTGTATCGCAATGACAGTCCAGGAGGACCATCTGTCTAAGAAGATATAACCCCCTTTCTCCTTGACATTGGATAGTCATCTTTGACAGGTTTGACTGTGTAGGCTATGGGATTGAGACATCAAATTGTGAGATCTCCAGTTCTTGTTTCTGCATTGATTTTTTTAAATTTTTTTATCTCATCATAATTTCCTTTAAAAACAAATTTTCATATTTTTTCTGGCCTTTTTTTTTGGGGGGGGGGTCTTTTTAAAAATTTAATTTGCCCCTCTCTTTGTATTTAAAGTACAATTGAACCATCTCTAATGGATGCCAGTTCAGGACAATATCGCCTGCACTAATGAATACTTCCCACTTCCCTCTTTGCGTTTTAAAAATATATTATATTATATTAACTATATTTGATTTGATTTTCTTTCTTGTTTTTCATTATTCTTAGGTCAATCAAAGACTGCTGTAAGGTGATTTCACAGAGTGCCATGGATGGAAATTCACTGGAATGTAGATGAAATCCTCAAGCAAGATTTTTCTGCATTCCTAGGAATCAAGTTAACTTTGTGATAAGAGATAAAAGATCCTTTCTGCATTTATTTTTGTTTTCTACAATGGATAATCAAGGTCCAGAACAAGATTTATCTGTTGGTCAACTTGAGACGGCTTGTTTACTGACTTCAGCGCCTACCATCAGTGTCTCAGAGAATTATGACAGTACAGATATGATTGCTAACCCAGCGAATTCATTGCAAATTCCAGATGATCCTGAAGTCAACATGACCTCAATTCCTAGCAGTAGGCAGGCCTCTGTTCATGCAGTTCGTCCCTCTGGAGAAGAAAACTCTGTTCAGGTCAAGGTTTCTGATCCTTCACATATAATCCATAGTGTTAATCATCCCATCATACTAGGAAATATAAATGCTGCAAATATACTGCCTACGGCTTTTATACACAGGCCAAATGACAATACTTTGTCTCAAGAAGCCAGTGTATCAGCTGAGTATGGAGGAAGTAATTTTCAGGGTGTCCTTCCTTTACTGATTCAACAAGATCTAGGCGGTAGGAATCCTGATACTGTGACGTCTACACCCCTGCTGTGCTTGAGCAGCCAAAACTCTTTCACGTCTTGTAGTGTTGGTGATAGGAAACAAAGGCTGTCTGAAAATGTACCGGTCAGTGAGGTCATGGATATTGAAGGGAAAGCAGACTTGGTGGGCACAGACTCTGAGGCTTCTTGTAAACCTGCTCTCATGTCATCTGACACTTTACTACTTAGTTCAGCTTTATCGCTGCCATCAGATGCTCTCTCTATTAACTCAGTGTCAGTGCTCTCTGAAGACAGTATTACAAAAACAATTTTATCCAAAGAGAAGTCACTTTTTTCTATAGACAAACCCTTTAGTTTGTTATCTGATATCTCAGACAGAAGTGTATCTCTGGAAAGTATACCTTCTGTAAGTGTATTCAATCCATCAGCGAACAATGCCAAGGTTATCAATGCAATTGGTACAATCTCAGCCTGTGACAAGATCTCCCCGCCCAACACACTGCTCTCCTCTAGCACTTTGGCAAATGCAGGGGTGGCTGTCTTGGGTGGTCACAGGATTCCACAATCTGTTTTTCTCCTTGTGAAGCAAGCAAAAGCACCAGCTTCATCAGTCCCTGCAGATACAGCAGCAGGTGTTCCACCACAGGAGAAAAGTAATATGGGGAGCAAATATGACAATTGTGATAAACTACCACTAGTTTTGATGGATTTCCAAAGTTCATCTCAAGAAGAGACAAGTAATCAGCAGCTTCAAACAGCAGTAGAGGATAAAAATGATACTGACACAGAGCTCACTGACAATGAAGATGTTAAACAAGATAGTTTGACTAGAAGTGATACTGTAATTCTGGAAACTGACAAGCCATCATCTTCTAGGGCCTCTCAATTGATTGCATCGGAGGAAACACTTATTCTTTCAGAGGAAGAGAAGTCAAAGCAACCAGAGGAGCCTGACAGACTCTCAGAGGGATTTAGCTTCAAAACTTTGTCAACACTCTCTGCCAGTACACCTGAGTCATCTTCTCATGTGAGTGACAATGCCTCGACAGATAGTAAATCGTTTGTTCAAAGTGCTAGTATGGGTGGTTCTCAATTACCAAATCTATCGAGGATTCCCTTGTCTATTGTTTTGAATAGTTCTACCAACAACTCTGTTAATGATGTTTTCTTAAGCTATGGTGATGGTCAGGTGCCCATGCTGAGGTGTTTGTCTGGAGACCTTCTTGATATCTCTGGCTTGCTGCAAATGGGACAGTACAACAATGCCTTCATCATGCCAGGTAGTCAGCAAGCTGTAGCGTCTGCTGTCACAGTAGGTGAGGCCCAGCCAGTACAAGTGTCGGCCAAGGAAACTCAAACTGACATTGTTCTGGGCACCAACGCTGTTTTCTTCCATCCCAGTAACCTGACTTCTAACTCAGAATCAGAAGGCTCAGACGCTTCTCATGCCACACTTGTGAATGTCACACCTTCAGCTCACTCTTCAAACATTCCAGCCACTGTGATAATGACGGAAGAGGCTTCTACAGGTAATGCAGAACCTTTCCTCCAGCCTGTGTCGTGTTCTGAAATCTACTCAAACCAGTGCAATGCACAAGATGCCATTAGTTCAGAGGAGCCAGCGGTAGAAGATGCAGTTGAGGCCCCCTGCTTGTTTCCTTGTGTCAACTGTGAGGAAACTTTTAAATCGAAAATGGAACTCACCAAGCATGAGAGAACTCACAAAAAAACTTTCAAATGTGACCTGTGTAATGCTTCTTTTACAAGAATGGGAAATTTCACAAGACACAGAAAAATACATAATCTACAATCAGAGGTGAGCCAAATGTTGTAACCATATCATGTACACTTCTGTAAGAAAATGGAGTAAAAAGACAAGTGAATGTTGGATCATGTGCCCTAATCTAGATAATACCGTATAAATGTCTGATCTGGAGACAGTACAAAATTTTGTGTCAGTCTTCATTTCTTGAGTGGAAGACAACAGCCTAATTTTTTTGGTACTAGAACATAAAAGTAACATTTCTGCCTATTTGGCATCAAGTCAAAATTTTCAATTTCTATGAGAATGGAAGCAAAACCGTTTTTCGTGGAATATTTTAATACAAATCAATCATTTCCTTTGTTATTAGAATGTGTAACTCAATTTTTAGTTGACTTTTTTTCAAGAGAGGCATTGATCGATGGGAGGAGCTAAGGGTGGAAACATTAGAGATGTTCAACTGTTTCTGTTTTTAATTTGTCAAACAGTGGTCCAATGAGATGCAAGCACTGGTGGCAATGGATAAGTAAGCATGCCATTATCAGAGAAGTTATGATAGCAATTGGAAGGCTTGAAGTTTTGACCACTGCATGTAACCGGATAGGTGACCGTTATAACGCTCTGAAACCCCACCTCTACCTGAAATTCCCCTGTCCAAGACGGAGAATGTCTAGGACAATTTTTTTCTGGCTCCTTTGCGATTCCGTCTTTGACAGGTTTGACTGCATGTAGATGCCACCAGTCGCCTCCTCTCATCACCTATATAGTGGAATGGTAATTTGCTGTAAATTTTACAGATTGCTTTGAATTAAACCTGTCTGTGTTTGTATCTAATTTTCTTTCTAGACTCAGAATGTGTACAATTGTGATGTCTGTGGACGGGAGTTTCTTCAACGATGTGACCTCAAGAGACATTTACTTATTCATGCCAAGCAAGAACCCTATCGATGTGAAAAATGTGGCAAAGGTACATTATTTCTGTTATATATAGCTCCTAGTGTTATTGTCATGATGATGATCATTATCATTGTCATTATTGTCATCATTGTCATCATTCTCATTACCACTGCCCTACAAAGCCCAGTGTCCATGCAACATACAACGGTTTTTAATCTTTATTGCTGAGACCACAAGTCAACAAAACATGTCTCAACAACAATTACCGAATTGAGAGAGGTAGGAGGAGAATAAAGTTTGGTCACTAGGCTGATTTGATGCAGTACTTCTCTCTGAGGGTATATTCCAGCTACTTTATAGTAATAACTGGTAATTAGTTCTTAAAGATTGCATGTTTCCTTTCTTTCTTTCTCTCTCACCATCTCTCTCTCCCTCCCTTCCACTCTCTCTCTCTCTCTCTCTCTCTCTCTCTCTCTCTCTCTCTCTCTCTCTCTCTCTCTCTTTCTCTCTCTCTCTCTCTCTCTCTCTGTCTCTCCCTCCCTCTCCCTCTCCCTCTCCCTCTCCCCTTTCTTTCAATCTCCCTTTCATTTCTTTCTTCTTTGAGAGAGGGCATTGCAAACTGATGAGTCTGAAAACTTAAATGCTTTCTCCCTCTCTTGTAAACTAGTGGTATCAAAATTGAAATAAAATTGGAACAGTATGATTGTGATCTTCTGGTGTGGATGTAAAGCACAAGATTGAGTAGTTGAGGTGGAGAATTACATCTCATGTTTTGAAAGAACAGCACTGCTAGTCAGTAATCTGTGCTTTCTTAAACTTCTAAGGAACATGATTTTAATTAGATTTCATGTTCACTTGTTTTGACTTTTTTTTTCTCCTTGAAGGTTATGTTCGTCGCAGTGACCTGGTAGTGCACATGAGATTCCACAACAAAGATCGAGCGTTCAAGTGTTCATCCTGTGATAAAAAGTTTTTTCAGACAGGTAATAGATTAGGAACGTACTTTTTCTTCTCTCAGACCTTGAGATCCCTTTCCCATAGATCTTCCAAGCTATAATTATAACTGTATTAGATTTTTTTGTGGAAAGTCTGCGAAAAAAAGTCAACTAAAATCATTTTTCTTTAGAAATGAGTATGCTTTTACAAATGTTTATAGTTTTTGTATAATGCATGTAAAGACGCAACACTTCTGAATATTGAAAGATGCTGTTGATGCAAAATTGCTGACATCCAATTTTTCACGAGTGTTTTTGTAACTGATACATACTATTGAAGAGTCCTCATTAAAGTTCGTCTGTGCTGTTTGCAATAAGAGGTGGTCAATTAATCCCTGAACACTAAATCAAGAGGGTTTCTGCATCGTCTGGAAACCTTTTGTGGTGTAGCAATTAGGCACACAGAAGACCTGAGTTGGATTTTTATGATAAATTATTATGAAGATTATGTTGGTCTTTCTGCTGGCACATTGTATCCCTCTCAGCCTGGGTTGGCTGTGACTTGCAGGGTCGAAGCCCGCCTTTTAAATCATTTAGATTTTGTTGATAGGGATGTAAAACATTTCTTTTTTAAACACCTGAGGCTGTAAAGATTTATAAATATCAGTTAAGCTGTGTAGCTTACGTTTTTATAAACAACATCAGATTGTAATCACTTTCTTTACGTTGCTGAGAAAACACGGAAATGTAACTGGCTGACCCTAACTATAACAGAGCATTCAGACTTTTCAAAGCTGCTATTTCGATGCTGATAACTGACCACAGAGAGGCATAGAGGTCAACAATGCGTAACTATGAAGACTCAACAGTGCCATTATATTGTATCGACACATCAATGCAACTGGTTTGGATTCGCACATAATGATAGTGACACTTATAAAAAAGGAGGTGCTCTGTTCTAAAACCCTTTCCTATTGTGCAAGGTGGGCCTTCTTTTTTGCTGTCACTGTCTTGTAAGTATTGGGCTAATAATTGCCCACAGCTCCACTTAATATGCTTAAGTCAGCATTCTGGAATATCTAATGCCATAGTAACTCTTCCTTGCTCTCAGGTTCAATTTGTCTCAATTTTATGATCGGCTATATATGGATCTGGATGAGATCTAGAGAACTTTCTACTGATGCCAATGTTAATGTTATGCATCATAACTGACAAGGAGGAGAAAGCATGCGTGCGTAGGGCAATCAGCTTAAAAATTGAACCCAGTTTTTGTTTTCCAAGGGTTAAAGAATACACAGACCTTCCTAACTTAATTTTTTCAGCCTCAGCAGATCATTTTAAAATCTTGAAATGGGATAATGTCACAGACAATACTGCTCATTCCTCATTGGAATTTTATTCTGTATTCATCAATGTCGAATCAATCTTATTTACTGGCCTGTCTTTTCACCAGGCATAGACTATAATGAACATCTTTGGAATTAGCTTTGTCAGTGTCTGAGTGCCTCAAATGGTATTTATATATAATATTCCGGTTGGTAGCTGTCCTTCCACAAAAACATAAGGTGTTTAATTTCTTCAGTTTACTGTACTTTAATCTCATAAGATCTATTAGGAGTAGATGATAGTAGCAGAACATACTTTGAGTGTTTGATTTTTTCACTTGGCCGCTCATGAAAGTGAGATTTGTTTCTCAATCTGGTCTCTTTGCTTCAATTAATTAATCTACATATGAAATGATTTTATCATGGGGCTTGGTTCGGAATGGAGAAAAGAACCATCATCATTTAAGTCTGTTTCCATGAGCACAATGTGTTTTTAAACCTGTTCAGTATATATGTATGCTCACTTATATCAAGGAGTATAGCTATATGTGGATTTTGGGTTGGCACTTGTATGATCTTAAATGCTGCTGATATATATTGTGATGCTAATATATAGTCGAACCTGCCCTGACGACCACCTCTCTAAGACAGCCACCTGTACAAACGGCCACTTTCCATTTCCCCCCCTTGCGTTTTTTTCTATATAATTTAACTGTGTAAAACGAGCACCTGTCCAACGCGGCCGCGGCCACCACATTTTAACACACAACTCCTATCACACCAAGTAATAACACCTGTCTTAGACGGCCACCTTAATGACTCCATTACGTTTTGTCATAAACTGTGCATTGGCCCCTGGCGTTCTAGGCGAGCCGTCATAATCCAATCACCTGTTTGTGTTAGGTAGGTCTAGTCCTTCCAACCGATCATGTTGCGTAGGCCCCTCCCACTGTTGACCTAAAGGTAACAAATTTTCAGCCGCTGGTGAGGTAATCGTGTGATCCTTCATAACCCAGACGCCCCACCCAGAACTCATTAAAATCGTAAGTGAGAGGAGTGGTCACTGTTTACCCAGTCTGTAACAAAGTAACAATGGATGTCAATGTGAACTTGTGACAGAAGCGTTGCTCGTTCTCCGAGTGATGGCGACCCATATGTTTGTTTTACCATAGCACTCGGTCCTCCTTGTCTGACACATTTCGTTTTATTGTCACCCTTGCACAAAAGCAGCAACAAAAGAAAAAAAAAAGAAAAAGAAAAACCCAGCGGAAATGACATTTTACAACAACAACAACAACAACAACAATGCGGCTACCTTCGGTTGGGACCTCAGAATGGAATGGTTTGTTTTCTTCATCTTGGTCAGTCCTGCCTAAGACGGCCACCTGTCTTATACGGCCACTTTTCTCCTTGACAATGGGTGGCTGTCTTACACAAGTTCGACCGTATATTGTGCCTCTGTGTTGAAATAGTGTTCGACTTTGATATCCAGGTTGACTGACTTGGAGTGACAACTGAACTTGCTTTATACTCTGCACTATTTGACATTATTTTAGTCAAATGTCCTTGGTTTGTTTGCTGTGGGTTTTTAAAAATTAAACACGTTGTAATATATCATCTAACATCAAGCCTCTCAGCACTCTTATGAACTGACTCTCCCCCCCCCCATCATGTAATGAAAAGCATGCTGATGGGGCTGTAACAATAATCTCATTGATTCATTGAACTTTGAATGGAAATTACTTGTTTTTTTAATGAGCGCTTCTGTTCTGAGGTTGAGGTAATGGATGGTGCAAGCTTAAGGCTTAAGGGAGTATTTATAAACTTGATAAACTGTTGAAAACTTTTACTAAAAAGATATGGAGGCAAGCTGTTTTTATTGTCTTCTCTTATAAAGTTCAATTCAAGTGATCCTTATTTTCAAAATATATGTAAAAATATATTAGATGGAGATGGGAACATTAGGTTGATGGTTTGAGCGGGAATACAAATGGTATTATTAATAAAATGCCTCTGTGTTAAAATGTTATCATTATTAACAGCAGCTGTCAAGTTTTGTCGTTCTCTTTAACTTTAATACATGAACATTTTTTTGTTTTCAAGGGGATCTAAACCGCCATGTGCGAAGAGCCCATCGACCAAACTCCCAGTTGACATGTGGACATTGTGATAGAAAATACGCCTGTGAGACAACACTTATTCGTCATATGAAAGCTTCGCATAAAGATATCATCTTAAGGACAGTACACCAGAAGCTACAAGAAACAGAGTGAGTTGTGTGTGATTGTACATGCTTTGGAAGTGGTATTTTTCATGGCTTATAGGTTCACTTGTCGTTTTTTAAAATTTGTTGTGCATTAACTTAGAAAAGGAAATACAGTAGTCTCCACCTAAGATCCCACCACTTATCGTCCCAGTTCGCCTAACATCCCGCTGTTTTGGGAAAAATGGAATTTTTACTCTATAAAAATCACCCCTAAGATCCCGCACTGAAGGAGCTACATTCGGCTAAGATCCCGCTTTTAAGGTCATAATTTTAAGGGGGAAAAAAATCAGAAAGCTGGGCGTGTCAGACTCCATTCCATCAAACTATGAACTCGTGGACGCTTACGTTTTCCCGAACATAGATCTTGTCTCGTTTTTTAGTTTTGCGCTCTAACTTCCTAGACAGACTGGCGCCCATACTGATCACCTCTGCATAATAGGGTCATCTGTTGGCAGTGAACCTGCCTTTCATTTTTTTAAAATTTGGTCAGTGTGGTCACAACAATGATTTATGATGCATCATGACATGGGCGGGGAACTCCGTTTGAGATGGAAAGCAATACATTTATGGTGGAGGGGCATTGCTTGAAGCCAACTGGTTCCCACCTGACGCAGTATTTTTTAAAAAGCCCCACCCCCAAACCAAAAAAAAAAGGAAAAACTGATTTCTGAAAGAATTTTTAGTGCCCAGAGTCACGTCAGTTCATTTTAAAGTAAGGGAAGATCATTGTACAGATTATGGGCCTGACCCTGAGTTACTGTGGATCCTTCCCCTGGCCATTCAGCTAAGATCCCGGTTCACCTAAGATCCCGCTTTTTCCTTGCTCCCAACTTTTTTACCATGAGGCTGTACTTTTTTTTTATGGATGTGTCAACATGACAAACAAATCCCTCTACAGTCAAACACGGGTAACTCGAATTCGTCGGGGATTGGAAATAATGTCGAGATTTCCGTAATTCGTCATGTCTGTGAAAGCCCTAAATAGAAAGAAATAGAGAGAAAATCAAGGGAGATTTAAAAAAGGAACATTAAAACTATTAACGTGGTTAGCTCCTTTGATGAACATGTTGACGGTGTAAAAGTAGGAAGATGAATGAAAGTTGCAAGTGGAAAACAGAAAATCTCACATGTGCACCGCCAACTCTTACGTCATTCCTTTCCTCTCATTTCATTGGCTCACAGAAAGTTATGCCTCTTGCCATCTGCATCGTGTGTGTCCCACAGCATGAATGCAAGTGTGGCGAGCCAGTCATGCGGTGTGGTCTGCATCACACGCCAACCCCCCTTCCCCATCCCCCTTTCCTCCAAACCTCTCATGGTGAGACAAGGACCACGTTTTGGCTGTAACAATAACAAAGAAACACCTACGGTACCCGCGGTCTGAAAGGCTGTAAAACGGGTCTTTAGTTGTTTATTTATACTTCATAACTAGATCTATAGCAACCTTTATCCCACTCTCATTTATTTGGGGGGGGGGGGGCAACTTTAGTGTCAAGTTCCCTTAAGCTAAGTTTTTAGCCATTTTGTTTAGCCAATTTGTTTTGCAAGCTTTGCTGGAAATCACAAAACAAATAACATCCATGGTCCATGTTTAACAATGTAGTACAAGGGAACTCAGTTCTCCCCAGTTCTTTTTCAAAATTTTGGAAAAGCAAGAGAGAATTCAATCTCATCTTGTAAATACATTATTATATTTGTATGTTACAGGAGGATTGTGTAAAATGAAAACTGATTGAAAAGTCATGTGAGCTGTTATGCACTGTTATCTGTTGTGAACACAAACATCAGGAAAATTGGCAGTGGATAAAAATGACAATGTAGGAAAAGTGCAGATGAAAATGACAGTTTGGGAAAATTGCAGAAAGAGATTGCCCTGATGTTTAGCTACTGGTGTTTTTGCTTTCAATGAGGCCATGCAAAAACTAATCATAAACTGATTCAAAATTGGACAAGTGATTCTACAGTATAAATTTTTATCTGAGGTAAATTATGTATGGCACAACCAAAGACTATTCAGGACATTTGGATAAGATTATTGAAATATGGGCTAATAATAAGAGATGAAAAACATATTCCTTGCAAGAAATAAAGTATACCCACAGTTGGGTTTAATCCCAAAGCTGTTCTCTGTGACCAAGTACACGGACTTACTGTGCCACTGAGCAAATTCAGTAAATGCTCAGCAAATTGGGATAACATTTGATTGTGAAGTTTCTCCTAACAATCTACAAATGTTGACTTCTTTTCCTTTCATTCTGTTGCTTCTGTATATATATCTGTCTTACCCCCAAGTGCTAAACTAAATGATAGTTATTTTGTCAATGTGCAGCTCTTCTCCATTTAGGTGGTTGATTCCTTTAAGACAATTTTATTCTCTCCGTAGGCTTATACTCCCATTTTCTTTTGCCTTTATTCTCAGTTCAAGCACAGGTACCAAGAGCACCAGCTGCAATAAGGTCTTGTTCACCATGACGGAAAAGCAGAGTTCATAATAATAAAAACCTGTGAAGTGGCTTGGCCTATTGATACAAGAATCTTTACTTTTGAAACTTTAATTGGTGATTTCTTCTTACTGATATGTTAGTGCTACTAGGAACAGTCAATAAATAAGCAATGTATTGTGAACATGGATAGCTCAACCTAGTTTGGGGGCTAGGAAAGGCAGGGATGGGTTAGGAGAGGAGGTAGTCATTCAGTTTTTCATGGCTGTGTTACTTGGGGTAATATGTATTTCTTTTTTTTTTTAAAGAGTTATTGTAACAATTACATACCCTAAATGTCCTCTGAATTTTCATAATTGATTTCATCAATTTATCTGTTTCTTTTTTGTTTATTTTCATGTTGTTACTGTTGCTATGTTTTATTCCATACTGTTGGCTTTTTTCCCCCATCTTTTTCTTACTTGTTGCTGTAACAAGTAACACCTGAAATAAATAAGTTATTGAATGTAGGTGTTATCCCTCCCTCTCTCCCTCCCTCCCCCCTTTCCCTTTCCCCTTCTCTCTCTCTCTCTCTCTTTCTCTCTCTCTCTCTCTCTCTCTCTCTCTCTCTCTCTCTCTCTCTCCCTCTCCCTCTCCCTCTCCCTCTCTCTCTCTCTCTCTCTCTCTCTCTCTCTCTCTCTCTCTCTCTCTCTCTCTCTCTCTGGCAAGTGCTATCATTAACATTGATATTTTCAAATTTCTAACAAATTGGATTCAAATGAAATTTCATTTTCTGTGCTTGACTATTGAGATATATATGCTTCTTACTGTTTGCTGTTTATTACCTCTCAAAACCAGCACATTGCAAGGAAAACAATAGTAATGTTCAAAGCAGGGGCTTATTCAATAGTACACAATGCGGAAAGAAGCATTAGAGAATATTGTAACAACAGGAAAGTTTGATGGAAAGAGAGGCAGAGGCAGACAGAGGGAAAAGATACTTGACAAGATGACAACATGGCTGGGAGCAGCAAGAACAACAGACACCATTGCTGCATCGAAAGACAGATGGAAGTGGAGGTCCATGATCGCCCACACCAGTCGGCAAGGCACCGGATGATGATGATGATTTTCAATAGTCCAATGGCAGTGTTTACTACTTAAGAGTTAAACAAATTTGTTTCTTTTTGTGGGTTTTCCTTTTAATTAAAGAAAGCTTTGTTGAAAATTGGAAAGAGTTTGTGATTTTAATACAATGAAAGGGGAACATTGGAATTGGATATTGATGTTTTAATGGAAAGATATATTTATAAATGCATTTTTGTGCCAATTGAAAGAGCTGCAATTCAATTTTTTTTCTCCAATAATGTCTGTATAATCATATTGTATGAATTTAAGTCTCTAAAGTGTACGTACTGTAACAAGAAATGATGTGCATTAAAAAAATTGTTGCCGTCGTGCACAAACCCCCAAAGCGCCTCCAAAAAATTTTTGCAGGAGAAGCAAAAAAGGATTATTTCCTTTATTTCTTAATATTTTAGAAAACTTTTCAACTTTTACATATAAAATATGATTCTTTATCTTCCCACATGTTGTTTGAGTAGTAAAATGAATAATTGCAAAGAAAAGGACTTACGTGGTTTCTGCTCAAGTTTATCGTCATGCACACGTCACAGACCCAGTAAGCGCCAGGCGTGTCGCATACGAGGTCCGTGCACGACGGATCTGAGTTTGGTTGTCGTCAGTTCATGTCACTTTGGTGGTTTCATTCTTGAGTGAATCATTAATGACGGCTTGTGTGTATTTGTCTGTGTGTGCGTGCGTGTGTGTGTGTGTGAAATATGGTTTGAGTTTGACTGGGACGTACTGTATGTTATACAGAATCTTATAAGCCATAAAAGTAAATTTTGAAAATTTTGTCGCTTAGAAGATTTGTGCGCGACGTCAACGAAATGAGTAACATGAAAGATGATTTCAAAGCAAAAGCTTGAAGTGAGTTTCAATGCCCTATTTTAGGAATGCTTACCTTATGAGGTTTCTAAGATGTATGGTTATTGTGATAACCTGTGATTTTGTCCCAGAAATCCATTGAAAATTACTGGTAGGTAATAGTAGACTTGGAACTCCCCGTTCAGTTCAGAATTGATTAACTGGAAAGTCAGATCCAGTTTCACATTGGGGGTCAGATTAGTGATAGCACTACATTGCATCTTACAGGTGAGGATTGGACTCCAGATCGCCTGATTATCAGGTAAATATCATACCTGTTGAGCTACTGGGAACCCAATGAATACCTTTAGATTTTAGTTGCCCATGAAATTAATCCAAGATCTGACATTAGTTTTCAGTGACTAATACAAGTGTTTGATGTTGTCTTATCAGAGATTTTATGCTACAAGTTTTTTGAAAGCTGTAAATGTAAGAAGTTAACTGGCGTTTTCCCGTCCTTTATGATTATTTATAGTAAATATCTGTCTGTACAAAGTTTTCAAAACTGCCTTCATCTATAGAAGCGAATTCATGTTTTACCTTTTCCTCACGACTTGAACGTAATATCATCTGTGTTATTTTTGTCTGTCTTCGTTGCATTTTATGCAAAATACAAATGAAATCGTAGATGACCCTAATTAATTTTTTCTAGAGTGGGTGATCAAATAAACTGAATTCAATGACGACAGTGATCTAGTCTGTACTTATTTCATTATATTCTTTTATGTAGCATAGAGTCAACTTGCAAACTTGCAGTTTGAAAGTACAAGTCTAGCTGAGAGGATGAAATGTTTCAGTCGAAAAAAACTTGGGTTCAAGTTCAAGAAAGGGTTGAGTGGACGGCACAAATGTGTTTACTGCTTCATCCAAAGTTGCATACTACAGTGGTCCCAACCTAATATCCCATCGCTTAAGATCCCGGTTCGCTTAATTAAGATCTCGCTGCTTTAAGAAGACAGATGTTTTTCTACACTAAAGTCACCCCTAAGATTCTGCTCTGAAGGCCGACATCGGCTTAGATTCTGCATTTCAGATAATAATTTATTGAACAAAATCCAGGGCTGGCGTAGCTGATTTACCTAGCAGTAAAATTTGCAGTCATTATACTGCGTGTTGCATCACAGATCATCTGCTGTGGTGAAAGTGATCACGGCTGTGTTGTTAAAATCTCGATGAAATGGTACAATGTTTGCCCCAAACGGGTCACACTGAGGTATGAACTTATTGATAGGTTGTTTTCCCAAACACTGCACTTGCAACTGAGTTCTCCACCTGAACTTACATCACAAGCTGGGTTGGTAGGACTTACAAGTCCGCATCAGACGGGATCACATCGAACTGTGAATTCTTCGCTGCTTTTGTATCCCTGTCCATTGCAGCAGCACCCCAATTTGCTAAACAGACTGAAGTTGGTGTGGTCACAACCCAATGGTGCATTGCAACAAAAGTGGGATGGAAAGCTATAAATGTCGGACAGGTAAAGGGGAGGAGCAATAGTGTAGAAGTATATCTTGAAACTCACGATAGGATGAGTGCAAATTGCATGCCTCATGCCACTGTGATCGGTCATCAAAGTTGAGCACTTTTTTCTTGCCATAAATTATAAACCCACTCAGTTCATTTCCGAGTAAGACTAAGAGGAGTCCATTTGACCGATTGTGGACCTGACCATGAGTCTCTTACTCTTACTATGGCTAAGATCCCGTTAGTTTAATTAAAAGATCCTGCATTTTTCTTGCTCCCAAGCACCAGGATCCTTGGCAGAGACTTCTGTATTTAATTCATGGGACAGATTTTGTGAAAGAAATGGTAGCTCTGCTGATCATATTTTGTTGACAAAATTGACTTAATCCAAGTGCAACTGTATTCACGTCACAACAACAGTTTAGGTGACATGACTCAAATTAATTAATGCAATCAAAGCTTTGTAAAAGAAAAGCATACTTTAAGGGTTGGGGGGGGGGGATTACTTTACTACAAGACGCATGCTATTCAAATTACAGCAAATTTGAACCAGATGAGTTTTGTTGTACGAATGTTACCTTCTATCTATACTTTTCGCAGTATTTCATGGTAGCTACTCTTTATACTTCAACGGCATCTGTAATATATAGCAGTAAGGTATTTTATCATTCATGCAGAAGATGTGACTTTTATTCCCGTGTGGGGAGGTTCTTTATCAGGTGTTTTGTCTGTCACTGTCTGCTGAGACGTAGTATCCTTCTCAGTAAATCTCTGCCAGGGTTGTCCCTGACAGAGTTGAAGCAGCCGGTATTCTTAATAAATGGTCTAAATTGTGTCGATATACATAGAGGTGTAAAAAATATCAAAAATTTTTTGAAATATATGTATTATATTCTTTGTACTTTGATGTGAGACGGCCATGGATTGCTTCGGACAGTGGGAGCATTGATCAGCTATTATAGTGTAGGCCTCCATTGACACAGTTTATATCATTCATTACGGGGGTAAGGCTGCTTAGTCACTGTCAGGGCCAACCCAACCTGTCTGGAGTTCAGTATTCCTGGAATTCCAGAAGAAAGACAGAGATACCTGACACTACTGTCAACTTTCATTGTCAACTGCCAACTCGCATCTATTGCTTTTAATGAGAAGAGCCTTCCAAATACAGAAAAGATGTTGATACTTCAGGGGAAAAGGAATGCAAAAGTCAATTTCACAGTGGAACGTTCTCTTTTTTTTTTTTTTTATTAAAGAAACCTTAGGAGGACGTGAAATTATATTTTCACAGAAACTCTCGACCATGCTGTGTAGGCTACAGTGGCGTCCGAAAAAAAACAACTTGAAAATGTATTGACCCATTCGTCGTGTTAAAGCCTTGTACTAGTATTACCCACTCGTCGTGCAACATACCAATTGCAAGCTGTATGAATTCTGCATCATCTGACACATTAAAAGATGTCTTACGATAAGAGCCACCCGAGATACTGTCGCTCAAAATTAACCTTCAAAAATCCAACTTGGCAAAATTGCGTGAAACCAAATAAACTGAAAAGTGTGTTTGTTTTGCGCTTGTATTCAGGTGCATTTGCATTGGGCAAATGAATTGAGAATATTATCGTCTCTGCAATGAAAAGTATCTTATTACGATATTTTCAAACAGATTGGAGAACAGAGCAGTCTCAAATGCCACGCAAAAACTGCACTTAACATCACATTAACAAATGTGGTCATTGGCACTTTGTATAGGAGCCACTGGTTTCGTGCAGAGCATGGACAATGTTAGATAGATTTAGTAGCCTATATAATCACCTGTCATTGGAGAACAGAGGCCATAAAACTGCCATGGTTTGTGGTAGCCTGGCTAGAATGAACCCCCCCCCCCCCCCCCCCCAGTAGTGAAAATCAACGGATGGCTCCGTTTAATTTAACGGGCTACATCGCACAAGTACTGGAACGTCATGACAGGCCCTATTTCGTCATGGTGTCATTAATTAAAGGGGACATTATAATGCTTGACAAAGCACCTTCTCGCAGGGCAACGACAATTTTGGGAAAACCAAATCATACCAACTTTAGAGTGGTCACCAGTAAATGAATAGCCCCGATAAGATCCCAAAGAATACATATATATATGTATACATGTAATGTTAAG